CTTGCTTCCGCCAAGACTCAGCTTGAGGGGGGGATGTTAGATAGAAAATATAATTACTTAGTTATGTTGGGGTTATTATGTAATTACTTATAGTCTACAACTATATATATTGTACAAGACTCTAATTATTGGTTAACATCATTCATAATAATAATATTCTATCACTCATGATAAAAATATTTTTAAAAATAAATGAAAAATCATAGATAATTTAGAATGTATTAAAGAAGTCTATGAAGCCTCTAACAATTGAGATGGACGTCGGGACAAGAACCACGACATCTCAATAGACTAAAATAATAAAGTAATAAAAAGGGGTCCTCCGAAAGCAATGAGGCTCACTAATAACTCTGAAGCTCAACTAGAATCAACGATACGTTAGATGTTGATCCTGGTTACCCGTACCTGCATCATAAAAAGATACACGTCAACTCACATTAGTACATTGAATATACAAACATGCGAGGAGAATTCTAAATCAAGACATAAGCCTGAAAGAAACTGAAAGAACATACACGGGCTCAACTCAACTCAACTTAACTCATTTCAATATAAAGCAATAATATGAATGCGATATAAAGAAAAACTATTAAAACATGGATAACAATTTCGTGTATTGTTAAATACAATAGTAACTCAGGTTGAATGCAAAGATACGATATAAAATCTTATTGTATATAAAAATACAAGATCACATAGTCTATATAAGAATAAAAAATACTATACTTATGTTGGAAGTTTCTCTAAGACAATCATCACTTAAGAGCTATATGATGATACATCATTTTGCCTCACGCTGTCAGGGTCGTCATATACCTGTCAATGATATAAAACCTAAATACTAAGTTGATCCACTAGTCTATGCTAAAAAACACTAATGAATCATCTAAAAGTATGACCCTTTTCTACCCACAACGCTACATGGTTTATGGGGTTGTGAGTTGTTTGAACTCTCCCCTATATCGGTATTCAATACTACTCCTAAAATATAATATAGCTCATATATTTAAAAACATAATTGATCAAAAACTAACCTTAAGTCTCTCTTGAAAATAAGTGTTTCTTTTCTTGCTTAATTGTGAAAGCATTTACTCTTTTCTAAAAACAAGTTCGAAGGCTCTTTTGAAAATCGATGTTTTCTTTCTTGTTTAAATATGAAAATATTTACTCTTTGGGAATACATAGTTTCCATATATTCTTTTGAAGAAATGAAGTCTTTACTCAACTCAAAATTCAAGTCTTAAAACAAGTTCAAAGCATTTGCAAGACTTTTTGAAAAGACTCTAAGAACTCTCTAGACTTGGCTCTCATTCCTTGAATTTGAATTTATGATTGAAGGTTTTGATTCATGTTTCTGAAGGATTTCTAGATGTTTAGAAGTCATTTAGAGTAGTTATAATGGATAGAAAATATTAGTACACTTTAAAAGGACTTAAACGAGCTAAACGACGAAAAATGGGGGGGGGGGAGCGCGGATGACCCGGACGCACTGTTGGCACGCTTCTCGAGCCTCCATGGCGCATCAGGGGCGCGCCGCACCAACTTCTTTGCGGGCAAACCCGATGAACTTTTCTCCTCTTGAGTTCTTTCTTTCTAAAATTCTAGCATAATTTTGAGTGCATAAACAGAACCAATTCGTTCTAACTCTAACTCTCTCAAATAGCAGAGTGTTACATATATTTTTTTTTAAAAAACTCATAACGAAAAGCGAAAATATGTATATTGAATCAAAGACCTTCTCCTACATGGTATTGTTGGTCTGAACACCATCTAAAGTTTTAGCTTGGAAGGTAACTCCCTCTATTCCATGAAAACTTTCACTTAATATGGAAGGAAGAGAGTAGTGTTCAGTCGGGTGCATTCATCACTAGTGCATTAACTGCCACCTCTATTTTCTCACTATCCACCTCTACATTTTTTTGGACAGCTTTATGCCCTAATACTATGCCCTCCCATCTCTACATCTTTAATTTGTTAGACACCTTTATGCCCTAATACTAAGAAATTGATCAGATGGTAATCGCCCTATTTTTTAAAATTATGAGTTTGAGTCACATTAATGTGTCCAAGGCTAAATTTTCTAAGCAACAAAACTAAATTTGAATTCAAAATCTCTACCATCGCTTTGCATAAATAGAAAGAAAAGATATTAAGAAAGGTAGGTTTGTACTCCAAAATTATTTCAAATCAACATTACTTTCTTTAACTCTTAGCAATTTTCAAGATCTCTTAACACTAATTTAAAGCAACTTGTACTAGTCATGTCTTCTTATTGCTCCAAAATCAAGTATCATTCCAGCCACATTTTGATAATAATAAAAAATAATTATTATCTTTTTAATTTGGTCAAAAGTTTCTCACATAATCCTTTATAAGGTGAAGACATGCATAATTATATGTCATATGTATAAGCGATTGCAACGTGATTCAAATTAGCACTCCCCTGATGAAATCAAAGAATAAGCACATATAGTAGATCAATGTTAGAATACATGAGCTTTAAAAGCTATTTTATCTTAAAAACACTTAAAATTATAAATCAATTCAAAGAGACTCTTTAAGTCACATCTTATTTATAAATTTGTCACGTTGCACGCCATCTTCATTTAACTTTAACACCATGTGAAGTCATGAAGTTTGACCATTGTCACGAGAGTTGTAATGGAGTAATAAGTACTTCTAATCATTGGTCTCATGTTTGAGTTCCCTTAAGAAGCTTTTTACCCCAACGGTATTTCCCGGCGCGAAATCAAAAAATAAAATTGTCAAGTTATACTGTTAAATTAGGTTTTTGATCTAACTCACACCCTAAAAGCTAGCTCAAAGAAGGAGGATTGTCCGAGTCTAATAAGAAGTCCACACATCTCCTTAACCACCAATGTGAGACTTTTGTCCTTCTTTAACACCCCACCTCATGCGCAGTGCTTAGCATGTGGTGTGTGAACAATTTTTATTTTTCAGCGGCGGTGAGATTAATTGAATTAGGCCCAAGTGTCATCTCTTTACATGTATCAAAGTCAGAACCATCTCAAGTTGTTGTTCACCGATATTGGACCCCCATTTAGAAGTGTTCACGCTCTTGAGGTTTGGGTGTGCGGCGGAGTGTTAAAAAGTTTCACACCGATAAATGAATGAAAAATTGATCTCCTTATATGAATTTAGACAAATCTCGCCTCATAAGCTAACTTTTGAGATTGAGTTTGGCCCAAATGCCATATCTTCGCCCATACAAACTACATACAACTTGAACAATATTGTTGAGCTATCAGTTTCTAATAAAAAAATAAAATTACTCAAGGGAAGTATTGATGACAAATGTGGAGTATATTTAACATACTTATATATCTAATTGACATATATTTCTTGGAGTGTGCTAAATCTGCAAGTCGTCAGCTATATTCAGTATTATTATATTCTTTTATACCAATTAAATATAATTAGATTATCTATTTAAGGGCACCTGTCCAATGAGTTTTATGCTTTCTGGTAATTTTTCTCTACTAATATGTGTAATATACCTTAGGTCAAAGTTTATTGACGTATTTTTGCTCTCAAAATAATAAATAGTACGTATTTTTAAGATTAGCTATATCATCAAGAATGTTTAGTTTATCCTAATAGCGACAGAGAGATAAATGGTGCATTTTTTTCACTAACTTATATTTTACGTGGTGATTTGTCATTGATTGAAAATATTTTATTATGCTAGCAAGGTAGGTAACCTATAATATTAGTAATACAATATATTTTTAAGAGTGTCCTATAATTGACTTGCTATAAGAAATCATCTTTTATTGTTTGTCAACTTAACATTATGGTATAAAAATGTTTTTTTTAATGAGCAATCCTTGGAGAAATTAGAGATCTTCAATTCGTTTTTTGTTTTTTTATCTATCACTTCAATTTTTCTCTAATTTTATGGCCTTTTTTTTTTATTACGAGAGATCTTGATTTTTTTATATATAAGATATTTGAAAATATCATTTTCTTCAGTTTAAATTGTAAGAATGGAAAAGGTCTCAATAGTTCTTTGGTATTCTTTTATAAGATTATCGGCTATTAGATAATCAAACCATAAATATATTATTTAATTATAATAAATGATACAAATTATTTAAATATGATATTTACAAAATATTATGAAATGAACCTCTTGACCACCTGCAAATAGAAAATAAGAAAATGATATCAGATATTTGATGTTGTTTTCAGAAATTGGAATTGCAACTTTAAGCCTAACTCCTAAACCACTAGTAATTAATTAAGCATGACTTTAATCATGATTCCAAGTTTTAATGTAATGTTAACAAGTGTAATGTAGTATCTATAGTTTTTATTTGAATCACTTGAAGCCAAGAGGAAACGGACGATGGGGAAACTCCTTCTTTAGTATGGTGTTCTTTTTTTTTTCCAAATGAATCTCAAATAGTTAATTGTTGCATCTTGGTTTGGGCACGAATCTGATTAAGTTGTGCTTAATCCAATTTTTTTGTTTATATTGAGCCCAAGAAAATTGAGTCGTCTTTTTTATATTTAGTATGGTGTAGTCCCACATTATTAGAAATTTAAATTCATGATAAATTAATTTGAAAAATATAAACCTTACTAGTTTAAACTGATACTTGAATTCAACTTGATGTATATACAATATTATGTATAAATTATAACTCAATTCAAATGACTTTAACTTAATATTGAAAACAGCACAAAACTTTTACCAACCAGGATTGTGGAGGGTATTTTTTCATCTTTAATTAGAAGTCTCAAGTTTAAATCTCCTGGATACGAAGTTACCTTCTTTAGTGAGCACATTAATCCCAATGTGGGACTTCCTTGAATACGAAATCATCTTTGTTAGAGAGTTGTTTACCTCGACTGTGGGATGACTTTGGACTTCCAAAAACGAAGTAAACAATATCTTGTGAATCTCCCTAGGTAGAGGAAATATCTCTGTCATTTAGCCATGGTGGGACTTTCTAACTAAAAAGAGAGACAGAAAATTAAGTGAGAATAGTCCTCTTTTTATATTTACAATATGTTCCTATTAGTACATATGAAAGAGATGAATCCTAGCTAGAGGTAATTAGGAACCCAAAGTTTCCAAACCTTAACATCACAATCCAAGCTACCACTATAAATGATGTAAGAATTTCCAGAACAAGAATCATTATCATCATACTTTTGAGTATCTAAAGTTGCATTCAAACACTTAACTGGACCTCTATGTCCTTCAAACACAGCCAAACATGAATAACAAAATTTTCCTAATCCTCTTTTCCATATTCTCACTGTTTTATCAGCTGATCCACTACATAACAAATCATTTGACACCACAGCCAAACACAAAATTGATTTTTTATGTCCTCTTATTGCCCCTAACACTTGCAATTTCTCCCACACAATTATAGACCTATCACAAGCACCAGAGTATAAAACACAACCATCTCTACTAAGAGCCAAAGCATTCACTGCTGATTTATGCTTCTCTAGTGCAGTCATAAGAGTGTGTTTATTAGAACCCCCTTCTTGTTGTTTAGTCCATATTTTGATCTTCTTGTCTGCTGAACCAGTGTAAACATCTCCATTATTCGATACAACTATTGAGTTGATCGCGTCGTCATGTGCATTCCATACTGATTCTAGGCATTTGAAATCTGAACTTCTCCAAATCTTAAATGTTCTGTCCCATGAAGCAGAGTAAAGCAGAGAGCCATCTTTCGATAAGGCTAATGCTGACACCGTGTCTACGTGATGTACCTGTTCAGACATAATATAATTAAAACATGATATGATTAAAGATTTTAAATACAAAATTCAATAGTATATACCCACCCATGTGCATTTCTTGTGTCTTCGAACTTGTACGTAGTTCCTTGTCCAAAATAGCTTCACGCAACGATCGTTGATCGTTGGTAAGGTGGCAATGCTCTTGTAATTTCTATTAGGTGTCTCATTGTCAATTTTCCATACTCGGATTTTATGATCTTGGTGGGAACTGAAGAGCTTATCTCCCATCATGACAATAGATTTGATTGCACTTCCACTTTGGCATACTGTCTTTTCTTTTAAACAATTGTCCTGTTTTGAAGAGTTTATGTCACATACAAGGATTTCTCCATTGGAAGAGCCATAATAGAGGTGTTTTTCCGCGATGGATAGGCAAAATATGTAGGAAGAATGGCCTGTTAGTGTGGCTAAGCAGTGGTGGAAGGTGTTTGAGAGATGTTCAACTTGAGAGGATGATATAGAAAGAGAAGGAATTGATGGTAAACTTGGCTGTGAAGAAAATGACCTAGATGATAATGATAATGATCTCGAGGATAATGATATTAATGATGATGAAGAATTTGAGGAAAGATGTCTAGACTCAGTTTGATCACAAGAATCTAATGGTTTTTTCTTTGCTTGACAAAGCAAAGAACATGGAAGAAATCCCATTTTTTTTTCCTTTGTAAGGAAGAGGAAGAAGTTTTAAAACAGCTCAAATAAAGGATGAAATGAATGAATCTGTCTCACTTTGCTATTCCTCCTTGATTATAAATAATAAAGTTGGGAAAGGGTATTTTACCTAAATGGTACTCATCCTAATATAATGAGAGAAGTGGAAAAGTTTTTTTTTTTCATCGGGTGTTTTTATTGAAGGAAAAATAATTTAAATACACAACTATAAGTTTTATATTCTCTAATTTTCCTCTTTTTTTTTAAATATTACATAATTCTTTTTTTTTTAATTTTAGTAGAAGCCTCGACTTATCCATACCACAGAGCCCATTTTGGAGTCGCTTTTCAAATAGAATTTTTTTCTATATATCCATTGAATAGAACTCGAAACTTCTAATTAAGGATAGGACAATCTACTACGACAACACAATCCATGTTGGCAAAAAGTGGAAAATTTAACAAATGAGAGTGACAAAAGGGGTACATATGGGACCAACAAGGGACTATTGAACATGAAAGGTGGAGTCAGGCTAGGAATGGGTGGAATCATCCAAAACCATTGTACTGTGAATGAATCTTGAACCACTTTTTAGGGTCTATGAGGATAATTTTGTTTATTACTTAAGATAAACGTAGATGCTTCTTTAAGGTTTGCCAATTAGTCCCTACATTTTGCACTATTGAATTGTAATAGTCATTGGACATCTGCACCTCTTGAAGTAAATGATGCACCAAAACTACTACCATAAACAAAACAACCACAATTGTCTTTTTCTCTGTACAGACAGATTCTGTAACTTTATTGCATACAGCTCTTGATTTGTTTTTTACTAAAACACTTTTCTATGGTAGAGGTTCAAAATTTGCAAAGATCCAACATGTCAGCGGCACTGAGGTCAAGTCGTCCAAATTTTGATGATCGTCAAGATGACAGATAAACTCAATGCACACTCATACTCCGACAAACTTAGTTAAGGCGGAGGTATCAAGAGCAGTGAACTCTTTCACAGCATTAAGCACATCATGAGCAAGTTTTACAGCATCCTCCTTGCTTGGTGCCTAAAATGATCATATAGTCTAGTATCAGATTATTGTAGTTGCAGAAAATTGTAAGAGCTTAAAAAGAATAGTTACAACCTCAATATTAAGGGGTAGAACAGGGTCATGTAGTGAGAGTCTTAGAAGGAACCACCCGCCAAATCCAGAAACTCTAACCTGTCATCAGACAAAATTGATCTTTAGACTAATACTCCAAATATAAATGTGTGCAGATGTCTAAATATTAGTAAATGAAAGTAAAAGGTCCGACCAATAGCAGGATACGTATAATGATTCAACACATGTAATGACTATGACTAAACAAACAAAATATAACGTCCATAAACAGTTGCCGCTCGCTATGCATTTGAAGGAACTATGATAAGAACTCAGTGATATCAAGAAGAATAACCTCATCTACTTCTGCTTGGACAAAAATCGTTAAAAGCTTACCCCTTCATAGTTAACAGGTGCTTTCAGAAGCTTCGCATCCAACTCAACTGTATTCTCAAGTTGCTTTAACACTGCTTCACCATAATCACGGAAGGATCTGGAGACACAAGCGTGTTCCTCAATTTACAAAAAATTCAATAACCTCAGCCAAATTAAATTGTGAGGGACATTGTAGCATACCCTCCTTGAAGATCTGGGTGATTCTGATCAATCTTTAGTCTAAGTTCAACAGCAACAGCTGGTTCTTCAAGACCCTCCACCATGTCAGTTAAGACTTTGCTTCCTCCGCCTAGTCCTGATGTTCTAGCTGATGCAAGCTTATTCAGTAACTTCACCTGCAAGTGACGAAAACCAACAAATGAGTTTTAGGACTTGTACTGAAGACAAATCATAGAACCCACAGATTAGTATTGGCAGACATGTACCATAAGGTATGCACCATCATCAAGCCAATGATTCTCCTTGAGAGCTCCATGTCCACTAGTTTCAATAGCCAGATGTGCTTCTTCACCAACAGAGTTCTGTCAATATGCTACTATTAAGTACAATCTGTCTCAGAGAAACTTAAAGCTTGGCAACAAAGATTTGAAGCAATACTAGAAAAGCAAAGAAATTGGAAATCGCCAGATTCAGACGCCATCTTTTAAGCCATACTAGTTTTTCAGAGTTGTGGAGCTTGAGGCAATAGTTTCTTCAAGCAGATAAGTTCAGCAAGTTTGAATGTACTATACTAGGCTAAGCTCATGGAGAAAAAGATGAATAGATAGCAGAGGATTCCAGTTCGTCTCAATGCTCAATCCTGAAAGTTTGTGATTATATTGAAGAGTGCGCTCAATTTTAGAAAAAATCCCACAAATTTGGGTTGCTGCTTCTCCCCTGGATCAATAATTTTCAGATTCCTTGATCACCCCTGGTGAGCGAAGTTAAAATAATTCCAATAGAAGAGAAAGTTCAGATGAAAGCATTTCTCTAATAAAACTAGTCACGTGTTTGTGTGGTTAAAGAATTAATTAAAACACTTGGCACAACGCATCCAATTCTTGGTGGAAACTAGTAAATCCATGAATTATAAACAGAACGTTAAAGTTTGAGATAAGTTGTCAAATGCCGAATGGAGGTCAGGGATCAGAGATCACCTTTTTCTTTACTAAAAAGCAAAAGAGTTTGCAAAGAAACAAGTGCTCTCATACAACTTTCTTGAGCAATAAAGTGTTCAGAATATTAGGTAGGATGTTAAGTTACCTTTTCAAGAAAGAGAGTTCTTTTTCCTTTTGGGGGATTGGTGGAGATTATTCAACATAATCCGAAATGTGAAGGACATCAGATATGGATTAAGCTAAAATATACCTATAACTACTATATTTTGGAGAGATGGATTTTCTTTCACCGGAGAAAGGTGAACAAAAGAAAGCTATAACATGATGACCACAAGCACATGAAAAGAATCGAACCATTTTATTTAAGACATCATGTTGTTATCTGAGACTGGGCAATTGGAGGCAACCCAAAAAGACAAAGATAAGATCCATCTTATGATGGATGTGCTAATATGCTTATAAAGACAAAAGGACCATTGAAATGCTACCATCAGAACCATGCATCAAATAGCCAAATCATACCAGACGAATAGCCTCATCAATAACATTCTTGTATCCTCTTTTGAACCTATGATGCTTCCCTCCTGCAATAATATTGTTAAAATTAGCATCCATTCTCATAACAAGGGTATCACAGGTGACTTTGACTCCTCATCTGACCTAGTTTCTTTTCAATAAATGTTGTCAGCCCATCTGATGTTACACTGTCTGTGACAATAGTGGTCCCAGGATGCTGGTCAAACATTAACAGAAGTAGTAAAAGGTTAAGATGCTTGTTAGAGAAGAGTTCTAGAGACACTTGTCAAAAAGAGATACTCACTTCCTCCAAAACAATTGCGGACATTAAAGCAATCAAACGATTTCTGTTAAATTCACGACCACTCGAATCCACAGCCGCAGACCTGACCAGAACATATATCAGAAAAGGGAACCAACAAATGACTACGTCCATTAAAAGAAAAGACTTGTATACTACATCACCTGTCAACATCTGTATCAAAGATGATTCCCAAATCAGCCCTGTTATCAAGTACTGCCTTGGTAATAGCTTTCATGGCTGTCTTATCCTCTGGGTTAGGTATATGATTGGGAAACAAACCTAGCATGAGAATCAAATAATTAGTAAGAGTCACAGAAAAATCTGTATGTGAAAATTGCAGGTTATATCTTACCATCTGGCTCCAAGAACTGACTGCCAGAAGTAATAGCACCCAGAGGCTCAAGCACCTTCCCCTGAAAATCCAGTAAAATAAGAATATGACCAAAGCATCTAAAAAGAACAACAAAGGGAAAAAAGGTAAAAGTGATATACCCTGAGAAAATTTTAAGTTACAAATTAAGCTGATAAACAGATTTCAATATGTCTTAAAGACCTTTTAGATGGTCCTTGAGTTTCGTTTCCCCTAGAACAACTTCAATTGATAACAACTATTGATGCATTTTAGTCCCTTACACATCGACTAGAATTGAAAGACAATGTATCAAATAAAAACATATCCTTTCTTGTGTAACCATCTTAGTTTGACTTAACAGGCTAGTACGGATCTCAAGAGCTAACTTATAATGTATTTCAAAGAAAGTGGACCTAATGGAAGACATAAAGCTGATAATTTGATAAATTTTGGAGTATGATATGCAGTTTGCATTTAAGTTTTGCAGGTATTAAAAAAAGTATATAGAGTAAGGAAAGATTTATAGTTCAGGAAAGTGGGATCACGTTGGCATGACAGCAAAAGAGAGAATATCAATTTCTTTTGGCAATTCAAAGTATTTAAAAAATTTCAATCATGTATTACTAGCTTTTCTCTACTCCTTGTTTTTTTCTGTTCATTCCCCAGTACCCCCAACTGTAATTCCTCATCTTTCATAACTCCTAGAAGCTCCTAAAATCTACATATCTGAATGCAGAGACAGACAATGGTAACTGCATCAAAAGATAATTCCTAAAATATCTTTTCTTAATATTGTAGACCAAGATGAATATGACTGTACTAAGTTATTTAGTTACAACTGTGTACTAGACATCTCAAAAGTCTAATCATCCATCTATACAACATGGAATTTCTTTGTCACATTACAAATACAAGTACAACAGATACCATCTTTTACTCTTAATTGAATTATTCACTCCTTCAAAAGGTCCTACTGTTTCTTTCCCTTGATAGTAACAGAGGATACACAATGGAGTTCATATATTTTTTTAATCTTGGGGTCCAGTTTACACATCATCCAACCGCTCCTTCCCTTCGCAACTTTGGTAGGATGAGACATTGTTGTATGATTAACTAATCAAAAGGAGGTTGTCAGATCACTAAGTTGCTCTATATTCCTAAAGATATCAAAACCATTGAATCTGACAACGATAATGGTGAAAGACCTGACCGGTGATGTGAGATTGGACTATGGAGGTGGGTGGAGACCAATATATCCTGGTAAGGCTGTCGTGGAAATTGATAAAATAAAAAGGTGTTGATAAGTATGTTAGGTTATGGAAATAGACCCAGCCCTATTAATAGCACACACACATCTTTTTCTTCTTGGTTTTTCTTTTAAGCTATAGTTAAGTGTTTTTCTTGGTTCAGAAGGTTTTCATGCAATGTATGGAAGGTGAAAACTGTCAAAGCGCGCAACAAGGCTAAAAACTTACCACAAAGAATCCGCCTGCTCCATTCCCTGCATCAACAATGATATGGAATCCTTCCAGTGGCTTTTCTGAGAATTGAACCACAAAAAAAGGAAAGAGAAAAAAAAAGTGAATGAGCACTAACAAGAGGCTGAACAACACTGGGTCAGAGAAACAATTAAGGTGAATTCTCTGAAAACGGTTGGGATATTTCATTAGATTGGAAGTATACGAAACTCTTTAAACAGGGAGATTCTTAATCGCAGGTCAATACCACCCTGGAAGTTCCCAGTATGATTGGCGTGCCATCACAAATTAATTTTATGATTTGCATCCATTTCCTCGAAACAATGATTATTTTCATTAATACA